TATATTATATATATATTTTTTTACCCTAGTAAAAGTTCTGAACCTAGACATTAATTTTCACATTTAGTTTTCTGACGTTTGGCTTTCTCACTATTGTGGCTAGCACGTGAGGGCTCTTAGGAAATGCACGTGCACCTCAGAGTGCTCATCCTGACATCTGTGTGACACAGCCACAGTCACAGTGAACTAACACAGTAGATCTCTGCCAGCCTTTTCCATGTACCTTTTCTCCTTTTTTTTTTTTGGTCTTTTTGAGACAGGGTCTCCTGTAGCCCCAGCTGTCCTGGAACTCACTGTGTAGACCAGGCTGGCCTTGAACTCACAGAGATCCACTTGCCTCTGCCTCCCGAGTTCTGGGACTACAGGCGTGCACCACCACACCTGGCCCTTTTCTCCTTTTATAAGGTAAGGTCTCGAACCTGCTCTGTAGCCCAGGCTGGCTGCACACGTGAAGTGCCCTTCCTACTTGAGCTTCCGAGTACTAGGGTTATAGACATGAGCCACCATACCTGGCGTCCTGTTATTCCTGTCCTTGAGTTCTTTTTTTTTTTTTAGTTTTTAAAAAATATTTATGTGTATGAGTGTATTGCCTGCACATATATATTAACACCCCTGTTGTGCAATGCTCTTGGATGTCAGAAGAGGGTGTCAGATTCCCTGGAACTGAAATTACAGACAGTTGTTAGCCACCATGTAGGTGCTAAGAACCAAACCCGGGTCCTCTTCAAGGGCAGCCAGTGCTTTTAGCTGCTGAGCCATTTCTCCAGCCCTGTGTCCTTGAGCTCTTTAAAGGCAAAATCTAGACAATTAAAAATCATATATTTGTACAGTCAGATATGGTGGTGCATACCTTTAATCCAGCTGGCCAGCCTGATCTACACAGTGAGTTCCAGGCCAGCTGGCTGGAGACCCTGTCTCAAAAAAGACAACAAAAACAGAAAAATAAAAAACAACCCACAAAACAAATTTTTTTTTTTTTTTTAAACGTGTATGTGTGTATTGCCTGTATGTAGGTAAGTGCATCCATGAAGTGCCCATGGAGGACAGAAGAGGCTGTCGGATCCCCTAGAAGAGGCTGTCGGATCCCCTAAAGAGGCTGTTGTATCCCCTAGAACTGGAGTTTTGGACAGTTAATTGCCATGTGCGTGCTGGGATTTGAACCTGGGTTTTCTGCAAGAACAGACAGTGTTCTTAACCGCTGAGCCATCTCTCCAGACCCAAAACAAATATTTGTAAAAGAGACTATTAACAAAGTAAAGTTACTTTCAAAAACTGCTCAAATGTCCCTATCTCGTTCATTTTTAAATATAATCTTGTTCAAACATTTTAACTTGATAAAGTGAAATGCCAGTGTTAAAATTACTTGATGCCTTTTAAGTGTTGTTTTTGTTTGTCTTTTTGAGATGGGATCTCTCTGTAGCCCACTTGGCCTGGAGCTGACTATGGAGACCATGCTGGCCTTGAGTTCAGAGATCTGCCTGCCTCTGCCTCCCGAGTGCTGGAACTAAAGGCGCGTGTGTACGCCTGGCTATTATTTTTATTTATGTGTGTAAGTGTACTGACTGCATGTATATGAGTGTGCCCATGTTGTGTAGTGTCCATTCAAGTCAGAAAGGGGTGTTGGAGCTCCTAGAACTGGAATTATGGACGGCTGTTAGCTGCCATGTCAGTGCTGGGAATCAAACCCGGACCCTCTGCAAGAGCAGTCAGTGCTCTTAACTCCTGAGCCATCAGTGAGTTTTAAAAATACAGATTTCATCTTTATTTATTATTGCCTTATAATTTTTTTTCTGTATAAATTTTCTTAGACTTGCTTATGACATCTCCTTGGTATTAGTCAACACAAGCAGAACTTCTTACAGTATAGAAAGGGTTTTAGTATATTTTGTGAGCTAGTTGCATTTCTTGGTGGAATAATTTGAGGTCCCATGGCTTTTGCTGATACAAAACTAATTTTAGTCTAAAGTACAATTACAACTAAGCTCTGAATCTCCTGGTACTAAAATTGAAACGGTTTAGGTTTGTTATAGTATGAATATCCTAATTTTAAAAAATTTTAGTTGATTTATATTTATTTATTTATTATTTGTTGTTTGAGATGGGGTCTCCCTGTAGCCCCAGCTGGCCTGGAACTCACTATGTAGATCAGGCTGTCCTTTAACTCATAGAGATCCACTTGCCTCTGCCTTCCAAGTGTTGGGACTAAAGGCGTGCACCACCACACCCAGCTATTTTTATTTATTTGTATGAATGTTTTTTGCCTGCATATATGCAAGTGCACCTGTGTTATGAAATGCCTGCAAAGGCCACAAGAGGGGTATTACGTCCCCTGGAGCTGGAGTTATGGATAGTTGTTAGCTGCTGTGTGGGTGCCGGGAACTGAACCCAGATCCTCTGGAAGAACAGCCAGCCTTCTTAACCTCTGAGCCATCTCTCTAGCCCCTAAATAGCCTCATTTTGAAACTCTCCTTAACTGGGTCATTTGTTGTCTGTTTATGAGTACTGGTGTTAAAACTTTTAGCATATCACCTAGGTATAGTGGCACATGTCTACAGTCCCAGCAGTCAAGAGGCAGAGGAAGAGGTTGCTAGATCACTGCCAGCATGGGCTGTCTATACATAGTGAAGCCCTGTCTCAGAAAACCAGACACAAAAACAAAAACGCAGATGGAAATATTGGTCTTGGTACACTGGCCTAGATATTGGAGGGCTTTAGATATTGTGAGGTTGTTTAGTTCAGTTTAATAAACAGTTCTGTTCAAAAGTTCTTCACGTACATAGAAATGGTAACATGAAGTGAAAATGTCCTGTCACAGTATATGGCGAAGTATTCCTCTGTAGGCTTTTGGTTCTTGTTATCTCTCTCTCTCTCTCTCTCTCTCTCTCTCTCTCTCTCTCTCTGTCTCTGAATTGAACCCAAGGCTTTATAAGCAAGCACTGTCTCACGAGTTCCACCTCCAAACCCTTAAAATCTTTGGTGTGTGGAGAATCTCAGACATGCACGAAAGCAGGTGCTTGAGCTAATGACCAGCCGTGCTTCATTTACATGTCCACTCTTGGCTCTGCCCATTGTTTTGACCCAGCTCTGGGTGTACTATTTCAGTCATAAAGATTTGAGTGTGCTTCTAAAAAGGACTTAAAGCAAACAAAACAGAATATGTATGCTGTTGCTGACAGTATGTGTAGTGCATTACTGTGTGTAGTTTACTCTTATAACTTATGTTACACTTTTCTTTTTTTTGGTCTTTTTTGAGACAGGGTCTCCCTGTAGCCCCAGCTGTCCTGGAACTCACTATGTAGACCAGGCTGGCCTTGAACTCACAGAGATCCGCCTGCCTCTGCCTCCCGAGTGCTGGGACTACAGGCGTGCACCACCATGCCTGGCTATGTTACACTTTTTAAAATATATTTTATTTATTATTTTTATTTTATGTGTATGAGTGTATTTGTCTGCATGTAGGTAAGTGCACCTGTGATGTGCGATGTCCACGGAGGACAGAAGAGGCCATCAGATCCACAGGAAATGGAATTACGGACAGTTGTTAGCTGCCATGTGGGTGCTGGGATTTGAACCCAGGTCTTCTGCAAGAACAGTGTTCTTAACCTCCAAGCCATCTCTCCAGCCCCTATAAGTTACACTTTAAAAAATACCTATTATTAGCCAGGTGAGGTGGTACACACCTGTAGTCTCAGCACTTGAGAGGCAGAGGCAGGTGGATTTCTCTGAGTTCAAGGCCAGCCTGGTATACATAGTTCCAGGCCAGCTGGTGCTACAGGGAGACCCTGTTTCAAAAAAACCAAAAAAAAAAAAAAACCCAAAAACAACCCCCCCCCAAATCCTGTTATTTATAAGTCAAATATTCATACCTAAAAAGCATAAAGACCTGAATTTAATACCCAGCAGTCACTCAAGAGGCCAGGGATGGTGGCACATGCTTGTAATCCCAGTGCTAAGGAGTGGGTCCAGTGAGAGACGCATGTCAGAAAACAAAGTGGATGGCTTCTCAGGTTGACCTCTGGCTTCCACATATACATGTGCACCTGCGCACTTAAATTTTAGTTCTTTCTATTTAGTAGTGCTGAGAAAATAGTGTTAGTATAGTTTTTTAAGATTCATGGAGCAGATATCACAAATCTTGCATTCTTTTTACAGTCTTAATGGCTTTTACTAAGAAGAGGGTACATGCATGTGCATGGGTGGATGCTTGTGGGGTGTTGCATTTGAGAAGGTTAAAGTGATGTCTTCATAGAATTTCCTAACCCTTTTTTACTAATGGTCCTGAGTTTCCTTCTGGGGTCATAATATTGCAAATCTGCAAGGTGGTTTGATCAGGAAACAAAGCTATGTCATGGATTTAATGGTTTGGGAAATGACTGTTCCGGTGGTCGTGGGCTACAGAAACAGCTTTTATCATGTTTATGAGATTTTTGGTTCTTAATAAAGCCAAGTTCAGTTACTTAATCCCAAAAAGCCCCTTTAAAAGTTAATTTGCAATCTTTAAGGTTATACTTCATCTTTCAGGATTGATTATAATTTTGGAAAATTTTAATAACAGCGTTAATTGGCAAAGAATCTAAATTTTTCGTTTTGGAGAATAAACTTTTTTCTTTAAAAACAGGATGAAACAAGTGAAGATGCTAACTGTCTTGCTTTGAGTGGACATGATAAAACAGAAACAAAGGTATACTAATTTAGCCTTTAGAAATACATACACGGTTAAAAATACAGAAAATATGATAGAAATATCTGTAGAATGTTGCACTGTAATCTGCACAATAGCTTAGTTTTTCCTAGTACTGTTTTTAGAGAAATTATCTATTCATTTGTAATGTCAATTAATGCGTAAAACTGAAGCATTCCAATAGTGTGACAGGAACTTGTAGTTAAGGAGCAAAGATTGTTTGGTACACATGAGGAAATTATATTATTACTGAAAATCCTACTAATTGGAGGAGGGGAAAGGGATAAAGGGAGTAAGGTGTTTCTGACTGAAGAAATAACGGACTGCTTCGTGAAAGGGGGTAGCAGCCTTTTGAAGCAGCCCAGGGAAGGGTACTTGGGATCTGAGGCAGTCAGTGAGACTGTCAACGCACTATCAGCTTTGACAGTTTGCTTTGATGGGAAATTGTTTTCAGCAGATTTTGGTTTGAATGAGGTAGATAAGAAGAGATTGGTTTTGTCCATACTGTGAAAGACTTAGGAATATCATCAAATTGAAATATACTGAAGGCTTACCTTTTCCAACATAGCCACATTTCCATAAAGAATGTTTTAATAAATATTCTTTTGATGTTTTTCAAGCTTTTGTGTGTTTGCTTATATGCCAGTGCCTTTGACTTTTTAATTTTAATGCACTTAGTAAGCCAAGAAAGACCGTTCATGTTATATAACCTACAAAATTATTAGACTGCATTGAAAGATGATGCATCTATCATCTTATTCAACTAATATTGTTAAAAGTTGTCTCCACCGAGAACAAGCTTGCCTTTCTTGTAGTGTCTCAGCATTGTGACTGTCAGCCATCCCGTCATGTTTACGAGGGTGAGCTACTAAGGCACATAGTAAGCTAAACTTAACTGTGCTCCTGGGCAGACCATTCTCCTTGAAAGGCTCCACTTCTCCATTCTTACTGTTCATACCTTGTTTGCCCTTTGCAGCTTCACAGGAAAACCATGAGGTTTTCTGTCTTCATAATTCAAAAATAGGTGTTTTAGAAGTGTTTTTATCCGTGTGTTTTCATTTGTGTATATGCGTGTTTTGTGCACTGCCTTAGGAGAGTTAAGTTGCAGTGGAACAGTGTGATTCACCTTGTATTTTCTAACAATACTTAGAATTGGGGCACTGATTGTTGGGCAGAGGAAGGTAGGGATGACCATAAGGTGGGACTACTTACGAATAAATTGGCTACTTTTAATTACAGATATGGGATGATTTTTGTGCTTCTGGGTAATTTTATTTGCTAACATTGTGGCAGTTTTTCCACATAGTTAAAACTGGTTTATGTTCTGTTAGTTATTGTATATCTTTATTATTTGCTTAATATGTCCAGGTTAAACTAGTTGGAAAGCCATGAGATATTTTGATCATGCCTTGTACTTTTTGAATGTCTGAAATGCAGATCCAGCCTATAACAAGGCTTAGTAAGGTCATGTAATGTGGGTGTAATGTAGTTATACCTCTTGATCCTCCTGTTTCTAATTATCTTTCTCTTTAGCTGCTCCACCCAGTTATGTTTTTATTTTTAAGTCTGTTTTCTCCCTCCCCACCCTTTGTCTCATAGGAACAAGTCGACACAGAGACGAGTACGGCTCAGTCAGACGCTGTGCAGACAGCGGCTTCTCTGTTGGCCTCTCAGGTACTGAGTGCAAAGAGCAAGGAGAGCTCTGTCGGTGTCCTTTCAATGAGTGGTAGATTGAATTAAAGGGACTTTCAGACTAGACGATTAAAATTATGTTTATGGAAATGATTGCTGTAAGCCTAAAAGTTCATTATAACAAAACGGTAGCCAGGTGCTGGATTTGGAGCTGGGGTTTCTGTTTTTAACTGTTAGGGTACTGTATCTAGTCGAGTGCTGGCATACTCTGCTCCGGCTGTGGTGAGAGCATCAAGTTTGATACTCTCCTGGGCTACAAAGTGAGAGTCCCTGAAAGAAAAAAAAAAAAAAGGATACCTGACTTGTCCCCTTACACTGCCAGTCATTTAAACCCTCAGCCATAGATTCATGGTTTATAAATTTTATTTATAGGTCAAAGTGAAATTAAAACAAAAGTGTGAAGGATTTGTTTACAAGGCTCATGAGTTTTTTTTTTTTAAACTTTCATTCATTCATTATTAAAGTTCAGTTTGGTTTTTGAGATAAGTTCTCTGTAGCCTAGGCTAGCTTAGAAGTTGTATATAGCCAAGGGTGGCCTTGTACTCCATCTCTTGCCCCAGCCTCCCCGATATTTTTATTTTTAAGATGTGTTTCTATCCCAGTTTAGCTTTTGGTACTGATTTTCCTTCAGTTATTTAGTTTAGAATACATAATTCCTTTGGGTAATTGGAGTTCATACTCCCGCTTGTGACAGTTCTTTCCTGACATTTGGTGTCTTATTTGAATTGGTTTGTGAGCCTTCATTTTGTTCCCGAAACAGTTGTTTTCTTCTTGAATCCTTTTAAATTGTAAAAACAGCAACTGCCAAACTTAAAGTCTAGATCAAACTCTAGCACAAAATACTTTGTTAACCTGAGTAGCCTCCAGTGTAACTACTAAAGGAGGTGCTGCCACCTCCGTGATGTCATACTGTTTTAGTTCAAAGTTAATTTGGTCATCTAAAGACATGCTTTTCATGAATTTTGATTTCCACAACCTCTAAATATATAACTGTAGACTCAGTTTCTAAATATTCCTTATTTCTATAATTTTTATCTAATAAAAGGTGAGCGGAAACTAAGCACAAGAAGTGTGCGTCATGTTGATGGGTGTCCACATAGACTTCACATGTGAACTGTCCTTTGATGACGATTCTATCTTTTGGTTCACCATGTTATATCCTAAGCAGCTAGATGTTTTCGGTTTATCTTTCTGAATCATCTCTACAGCAGTTAGGAGCCTTTTAAGAGGGTTGGGGTTTTTTATTTTGTTTTGTTTTTGTTTTTAATGAGTAGAATTTTCTTGCAAATGAAAGGATTTATAAACCAGTCAGAGCTAAAGCACCTAGATTATGCTGGTTTTAAAAAATACATTCTCAGCCGGGCGTGGTGGCACATGCCTTTAATCCCAGCCCTCGGGCGGCACAGGCAGGCAGATCTCTGTGAGTTGGAGGCCAGTCTGTTCTACATATTGAGTTCCAGGCTAGATGGGGCTACAGGTAGACCCTGTCTCAAAGACAAAAAAAGAAAAAAAAAGCATTCCCATATTTTGTGTATAGGAACATAATTGTTTCAGAGAAAGTGATGATGTCTAAGAAGCACTGTTCGGTCTTTAGGTATTTGCAGAATTGATAGGATTTCTGATTTTGCTCTTGTATAATGCACACATTAAAGGCCAGAGGTAGGGAGATTGGCTTCAATTTGACAGTTGGTGAAGCTGGGTGATGAGGACATGCTATCTGCTTTTGTGTGTGTTTGGAATTTTCCAATAAACCCTTTTATAATTTATTCTCCTTTTTGAATGTTACAGATATTTTGTGATTTAATTTGTGTAATTTAATTTTAAAAATTCTCTAGGATAATAATTGTCCAACTGTGTAGTTAACTTTATAATTTACAGTGTCAGAAAATAGTAAACTGATAATTGCTGCTTTGTGTATAAGGTGAACTTTAAGTATTCCCCCACATGGGGGTGCTCCAATACCTCTTAATATTACAGCTGTTGGTGTTGGAAGTACATTGCTATTCAACATTAACCTTGTAAATATTCTAGGTGATTGATTATTAGTGCAACATGTTTTTAAGACCGAATTTGAAATTGCTTGAGAGTTTTCTATGTATCTTCAAAATATTGTTAAAGTGTGTAAATCTTGGAAACTTAATACAGTATACAATCTATGTACATTTAAGTCATGCTTATTTGCATGGCATTTTAAAGTTTGAGTTTCTTTTTTCTCATAATAAAGCTCCATTGTCCCTAGAAGTAGAGAGGTCGAAAGTACATCTCGCTGTAAATGACTGTGCTCTAAACCATGATGTGTTCTTTGCTTTCATTCTCAGAAAACATCCAGTACAGACCTTTCTGATATTCCCGCTCTCCCTGCAAACCCTATTCCTGTCATCAAGAACTCAATAAAACTGAGACTGAATCGGTAAAACCACCTCAGGGTCCATAAACAGTATCTGCCAACTCAACCTGTTGTCTTCAGATGCTAAAACAAAAAACTAAAACAAAACAAAAAAGGAGCACGGAGGGTAGAAGACTAGACATGGCTGGCAGTGGGTTAGGCTTTGGTGACCTCCCTTACTGGGCTGCAGCACTTGATCGGAAGTCCAGGTTAGTATGCGAAGCCAGGAGTACCATTATTACTGTGCTAGCACAGTTGCATTACTGTTTCGGGACGATTACTGCCTTTAAGCGGGGGGCGGGAGGGGATCAAGCTGTTTGTGTCCCTAATTGACATCTGGATTGGATTTATGTTTGATGCATTGTTTGAAAAACTTGCAATACAAACTAGCATAAGAATTCCTTATTCTGATGATGCACTTTTATGTATTTTTTATTAGAAAGTAGAACTAATTTTAGATTTTCAGCCTAATGGATTTTCATTTTTTCCCAAAGAATTTCCTTTCCAGTTAGTCTTTGAGTTGGGTGCCATTGTGCGGTGCTGCACTGTTAGCCTCAGCAGGATGAGAACTCATCTGGTTGAGTCCTCTGAGGTAGCTGTAACCCTTAACATGAAATGCCAGTTCTGAGAGATGCATTTGACGTTGAAGGAGTAATTAGAGAATACTTGGTTTCGATGGTTGTGATTAGGAGGTGCGTACTGCTGCTCTCCATGCAACTGTCTCCTCGTGCACAGGTGAGCGGCAGCCAGCAGCCGTCTGCATCTGCTGCAGCTCTGCTCTTCTGACTGCAGTCTGTTATCTTCAAAACAACACCTGTTCCTCCCTCTTCTTTTTCTTTTCCCTTTTGCTTGTATGCACAAGGTAAGACTTACTTCACCAAAACCTAAATGCCAGTATTTTCCTAAGCCATGACATGAACCAGTGCTCCTGTGGCTCTGTGTCACAGACGCTAAATTTTGGTCCCGTGCCTGAAATTTAGAGTGGCCCAAAAGTAATGCCCATGAAGCTTCTCTGCGTGGACAGCTGTGTGCCTAGAAGAAGACTTTTGTACACTCCACAGCTCCTGTTCCTTGATGTTCAATTTTAAACGTGGGCAAAAGGCATTTTCTCCAAGATTTTTAAACTTTTTATTTTTAACCGGTTTACCAAAATTTGTCAGTGACTTTTACATACAGAAACATTTTAAAAAATCATTTCTAGCAAGCACTTGACATTTGGTCGGCTCACTACTTTGAAATTTTGTTTTGTTCTGTCAAAAAATTAGGAAATGTTTAAAGAAAATAATTTCTCATAATTAAGCTGCAGAATTCTCATCCATCTTTGTGAAGTCTGAGGGATGCCAGATGTTAATAAACTGATTTCTTAATCTGGACAAAACAAAGCTGTAGTAGATCTCTGAGCATGTTTTCTGACTCTTCCATTGCGCTCCATTCTATCACACATGCATTTTTCATGTTAAACTGCAATTACTTAAACTCTTCCCCTGTCCTTCTAAATTAATTTTCCAAAGTTGGAGTGTAGTCTTTTCCCCATAGGCTCTGCATTAACTGAGGCTTCTTCTCACCACCACGTGCTGATGTGTGGTACCCAGGATTTCTGCTTGCCTGTCTGCCTCTGCAGTACCTTGCCCTTCCTCCACCTAGATGAGGAGACGGTCAGCTTGCTGGTGAAGTGCAGAGGTGTCTGTTGGTGTGGCTTCAGAGTTAGAGTGACATCACCAGGCACAGATTTAGTCTTGTCATTTTGTTTACACATTGGGGGAAAAAATTCAATTTATTAAACGTTCCATGTAACTGCATCCAAGTTTTTCCAGGCTGGAAACTTGGGTCTTTTCTGTGTAGTGACTTTTTAATTCTAGTTTTCATAACCTGGAGATCAGACTGTTGCTTTCGCATGATGTAAGTAGTGTCTCATGACTGGAGTTTGCTTTGTTTTATAGTATCTGTACTCCTTGTATTTTTCAAGAGCTATTTTGTAAACAGATGATGTATTTCTCCATTGAAAACACAATAAAAAAAAAAAAAACAGCACAATCCCACAGTTGGCTGATTTCTTTTGACTGTTTTCCCCTTCATTTATTTAACTGATTCCACTTTCAAGTTTGTAGTATGGCCCTAAGTGAAGATTTGGAAATTAACTTGGTGTGGTTGTATTGGCAAAGATTTGTTTTGGGTTAGCCATTTGCAACCTAATACTAATTCTTGTCTCACATAATAGGTATTTGTTTTTCATTAATTGATCTGTAGGGATGAAAATATGAATATAGCTATTACTAATCACTCTGAACTGTTCTTCCCTCCAAAGTATTTGCTCTGTTTGTGGACACTATGACCTGCCTGTAGACATGGAGACAGTGTCCTCTGAACACATTTCCCAGCTGGTGGTTCTCAAAGCAGTTTGCGTTTTACCTCTCATGTCAGCAGGGGGCACTGTTGGTTTTCAGTAAATTTTTAATTGTAGCCCATGAACAGCCAGAATCCTGTTTCTTATTTTACTAAGTCCAGTTCAGGCATATTTTTGTAAACTACCACATTGCATGGACGAGAGTGAAGTGCTTTGAGATTGTGGTGGGCAACTCTAGGTGTGGTTGTCTTAGGTGTTTTGGGTGGACAGACCTTTTCGTAGAAAAGCCTTTTTCTGAGGGAGGTAACAGCTGTGCATGCCATCCCAACCGGTTTGTTTTTTTTTTTTTTTGGTTTTTTTTTTTTTTGAGACAAGGTCTCCCTATAGCTCCAGCTGGCCTGGAACTTACTATGTAGACCAGGCTGTCCTCCCAACTCAAAATGATCCACCCGCCTCTGCCTTCCGAGTGCTGGGGTTAAAGGTGTGCGCCACCACACCCGGCCTAAAATCCCCAAACTCTTGATGCCTTCATTAAATACACAACTTCAGAGGAAGACTTACACTGAGGCAGAACCCAGCTTTGGGGCTCACTGGGTGAGAGTGAAACCATTGTGAAGTTTGCTTCTGGCTCACCGCTATCCCTACACACATCTGTCTACCTTGGTGGCAACTAGACGTGGGCCTGGATCTCACACTTTGGTGAGAGCTAGCACCCACGTGGTCTGTGAGCATTCCGTGTCTTGCCGACTTAGTAAAATGATAATTGAAAGTTCAATGCTTGTGGCTCGGGGTAAATTCTGGAGTAAAATTTTTATTTTTCTAATTAGCACCTCTGTTTCTTTCTCTACACAGAAAAAATATTGTAAAGCTCTGCATAATGTTAACTCTGGCTGCATTCACGGTGGCAGCAAACGATCACCAGCTCCAAGTAGTCACTGACATACGAAAGGACACTCACTAATGCACACAGACTTGTAGACTGAACCTGGGAGACTAGTGCACTGACAGTGCATTCTGAAAGATGAATTGTTTTTCTAAAAAGGCATTGGACAAGCATTTGAATCTTTTGCCTACTTTAATTCTAATAAAAATGAATAGTACGATGAAATTGGTTGCCTTTTAGCTTGTATGCTTTGTTGTATTTTTTAGTTCGTATTTCCCTTCCTTTAGCTTTCCTTCAAGCCAAAATCATGTAGAAACTGCTTTGACTCAGACCTGAGCTTGGTAAATGAGCTACATCTTGTTCTGTTTTAAGCATGGCCTTCATTCATAGAGAAACGAGCAGCGTTTAATTCTGTGTAGCGTTTCTCATACCTATAGAATCAGTTAACCATTTATCACCACCTTAAAAATCAATGCTGCATTTCATTTTTTTCCCAAGGCTAATGGTAGAAAAGAGAGAGAGCTAAAGAACTGTGTTGTGAGGGTGCTTTGCATATCTGTTTTTATTTTTGTTATTGCTTTCTGTTTTATTTTTTGATGGGGCTGGGGGTAGAACCCAGGTTCTTGCACATGATAAGCACTCTACCACTGAGCTACGCCCACAGCCCAGAGTGCTTTGTGTTCTCAAAAGAAAGCACAGGCAACTTCATTAAATACGGTTAACAGTGTTGGGAACTAATGACAGGATGTGTATTCATTTTCAAACCTTTGTGTTTTTCTGTGCGTTTTTTTTTTGGCGGGGTGGTCTTTTTGAGACAGGATCTCCATGTAACCCCAGCTGTCCTGGAACTCACTAGGTAGACCAGCCTGGCCTCGAACTCACTGAGAACCTCCTGTCCCAGCACTTGGGAGGCAGAGGCTAAAGGTGTGCACCACCACGGCTGACACCTTTGTGCTTTTTTAAAATACCTCTTAGCACCGGGTCCCAGATGCTGTGTATCACAGCCATGGCTGTTCTTTTCCAGTCCTGATTTTATGTACTTGGGGACGTCATTTTGGCCTCCGTTTCTCCCTCAGAGACATACTTTTGTCTCTGTGCATCCTAGGAAGCTGATAAAATCACAAGTTTTTGTAGAAAGCGGTGGGATTTAAAAGTACACTTTCCCTTTCCTCATCCTCTCCCAGTTCACAGGGCTTTCCGTGAAAGGGAAAGGGTGGGGTCAGTGCTGCGCTCAGGTTTGTATTTCAGAAACCTCAGTTGTGAATCATGATTATAGTCTTAATCTGTTATCCTATATAAATCGTATTTTCAGATAACTAAAAGAGCATCTCTACGAAGGATCCAAACAGCCCATACTGGCCTCAGGCTTCTGAATTCTGCCTCTGGCTCAAGGTAGTCATGTTTTTAGTGTAATTTAGACAGTGCACTCACTTGCTAGGTTCACAGGGATTACCACCACACCCAATGGACATGGAATTTTTTTTTGTGTGTATGGGTGGGGGTGTGCGTGTGTGTGTGTGTGTGCGCGCGCGTACATTTGTAGAGGCCAGAGAACAATTCTTGGGAGTCTGTTCTCTTCTTCTACCATGGGTTCCCAGAGATCCAACTCAGGTTACTAGGCTTGTGTGGCAAGTGCTTTTGCCCACTGAGCCATCTTGCTGGCCTCTGGTTTAGGAATCTTGAGATTTAAAGATTTCCTCCAGTAGGGTGGGAAATGTATTCAAACAACCACCAAACCAACAGTTTGTTTTAAAGCATATTTTTGGCTTTGATATTTCCAAGGTACAGAGTAATGTTCTGTGCCACCCAGCTTAGATAGAGTCTGCCTGTATTTATTTTTGGTTGTAAGAATGAATGTATGCTCAGCACTCCTTGCTGGGTCCCAGAACTGAGGAAAGCCCAAAGACGTGTTGGTTTTATCTTCCATCGTGGGGTAAACAGAGTCTGGAAGGGAGAGGTCTGCTTTAACTGGGGCCTGGGCTCCTGTCACCCCTTCCGTCTTCTAGGCCTCTCTTCCACTGGGGCACAGTCTGGGCAGCCCTGTGACACACAGAAAATGTCACAGTGTCACAATAGTGTGAATTCAGTTGTAAAGTAGTACCAGGGTCTTAATGTCTTGTGACATTGCATGAGTAATCCACTCTGCTCAGGTCTGTGCAACAGATCAGTCGATGGAAAGTATCAACAGTGATCCCAAATGTTACGTTAGCTTATCCTTTTGGACTAGTTATGGTGTAGTCAATTCCTAAATGACGAAGTCTTGCCCTCGGAGGTCAGGTGCTACCTCCTTTGGAACTCCACAGAGAGCGCACAGCTAGTGTAAGCTTTAAAACAATCTGGATGGGTTTTGTCCTATAGTTGTGTGATTCTGGCCTGATTGATAGATATCTAAGTCTCTTAAAATATTTTCCATGCCTTTTAGAAGCATTTCTCGTAATTTATAAGGGTTATTTTTGATCCAACAGATTTCATGCTGAAAATAAGTAGCTGAATAATTCAAACATTTAGGTTTCATGGGTTTCTTAACAGTCATTGCAGACATTGATCTCAGTCTTGTGTGTTTTCTAATAATGTCACGTAGTCCTAAAATAGTTTAAACTTTGGGGGGGGGTTGGAGGAGGGGTGTCTAATAGAGTTTTTGCTCTAAAAGAATGTCTAGAAATGCAAAATGACAAAGGTTCAAAGTGGGGTTCAAAGGGATTCTTTGTCATTGCCGCTCCCCCTCTGTCTGTCATAATGCAGATATTTTGGGTTCATGTCAGATTTTAGGCATGAGCAAGCCAGTCTGTGTTTTAACATAATCAGGTAGATGTCCCGGCTTTGTGCTTGTTACTTGTAGATGCTGTCTATCTTGGCA